ACAGGTTAGGGCTGTAAAGAGCGGGGTGGTGCTGCCGTATTTGGTGCCAAAGGTACAACTGGAAACCAATCTTAAACTTCAGAACTGTGGTTTTTCCTGTGCTAGCTGCCAGTTTTGTTGGGACCAATATGCCAAAAGGAGGAACATAATTTGATGTTTTTTCTGATTTTATGCTCAAAACATTGTCGCTTGGGTTGTGATGCATTTATATTTAGACGTTTTTCTTGTAATAGATTAATTGAGATTCTTTCTGAAAAAACTTTCTGCTTATCTTTTTTTTTTTTTGGTGGATTTTTTTTTTTAGCTGACTACTCCCCCTGTGAACACCCGTGTGCTAGCGTTCCTCTCATCGGTGGCAGGGGACGCTCTGACACGGCACTTGAGTGTCATCCTGCCTGCTATGATGTCTGCGCTCAAAGAGAAGCTGGGGACCAGCGAAGAACAACTGGCAAGTAGCACGGCTCAGCTCTTTGTTATGACAGGTTGTCTGAAGATAGCGCTTCGGGTTTACTTCCCAGCACAGAATATGTGTTCTCTAGATTGACAGATTGCATGTTTTAATCCAGTCCATTAGCTTCTTCAGGATGAGTCTTTTTGCCTGGTGCCATATTGCGAGTTGAAAAACATATGCTTTCCAAATCTATTTGTACCCATATAAAAGTCTCTTTGGCCTGCAACAAGATACATTTCCCACTTTACTTATTCTTGGAGAACTGCCAGAGTGTCTAGTTAACTTTATATTTATGTGGATTATAGAAGACCGAGAGATTAAAGGGCTGAAGGGAGGAAATCTCCTGTTTTGCATGCAGCACTCCTCCTGTACTGCTCTCTGAAACACCTGGGATTTGGACTCCAGAGAAGATCTTGGAGTTGTGTCTGAAGACAGACACGTACCTAAGTTAGTGAGTTAGCAATGGTAGAGACGCAGTCCTGTTGTCTCTCTGCTGTAGATGCCTGTTAGCTCAGCTTCTAGCCCCAAGTCTGCCTGGAGATCTCTAACGTACCCTCAGATGTGCTTGCAATGAGTATTACAACGCACAGCATTAAACTACCTAAATCAAAAAACTGTTCTCTGACAAAACCCGCTGTCTCTGATGGAGGAGTAAGATGGGGGCAGACTGAGGTACTCTGATTTTTGTAAATTAGCCTTTCTGCAGCTGGAGAGCAACCTGTGCAGCAGTGAGTTCAGCAGAATTTGGTCACTTTGTTATAAACCAGGACTGAATCGAGCCTTTAATGGCGATGCGATTAGTTATTTGATGAGAATTAGCAAGTGGGATATGTTGTCATATTTTTGTAAAAGATAATATGGTGGCTAACATGGAGAAACTTGGGGATAAATCTGGTTTTGTTCTGTCGGAGAGTTAATGTAAAGTTAATTTGGACTTTTTAGGAGATGGCAAACTGCCAGTCTGTAATCCTGTCTGTGGAAGATGATGCTGGACAAAGAATTATAACTGAAGATTTATTAGAAGCTACGCGGAGCCCTGAACTGGGAATGAGACAGGCAGCAGCTGTCATTCTGAATATCTACTGCTCCAAGACAAAAGCAGACTATACTGGTCATCTCAAGAGCTTGGTTTCAGGCTTGATACGCCTATTTAATGATACCAACCCTGTAGTTCTGAATGAAAGCTGGGATGCGCTTAATTCCATCACCAAGGTGAGAGGCAGCTTGATAAAGATTACAGTGGTAGAAAGGAGAAAATGGGGATAGCTGGTAAAATTCCATCTAAATTGAACCATCCATTTGATGGTAAATTGCATTTACATTTGCAAATGCTGCAAAGATTTGAGTTGTAAGATGAGCTTGACTTCAGCTTTGTGAGGGAGGAGGCAGGAAACGGGCATCTTCTCTTGACACACCTGAAAAGTCACAAAGAACGGCTGGATGCCACGTCACCTCAGCTTTGCCTTACCCCTCTCTCTGCAGAAATTAGATGCTGGGAACCAGCTTGCTCTCATTGAGGACCTGCACAAGGATATCCGGATTGTGGGGAACGAGGCGAAAGGCGAGCATGTGCCAGGATTCTGTATTCCTAAGAAGGTAAAGGATCAGAAGGAGCGTGGGTTCTTCACGGCCACAGTACCCACCTTTTAGGGGAACTGATTGATGACTTTACAGCTATTAGAAGCAGTGACTGTTTGGGCATTCCAGACCTGCTTATTGGAGAGGCTTTTTGTAGGTTACTGCTGCTCTTGAGTTTGCCTACAGAAGACTCCTCTTGTAACAAGATCTTTGACAGTTCAGTTATGCATGGAAGTCATGGTCGCTGGCTGCTTTTAGTGGGGGAGTAATGCTGGACTTCTGTGCCAGATTTCTCTGGTTTAAAAATTCCCTGAGCCGCCACCACTTTTCTCATAGCAACTGGCTTAGGAAGGCGTAGATGCATGAAATCAAACCCAATAAAAGTAGCTCTGTAAATGTGGAAGCAGGCAGCTGAAGGTCAACAGGATATTGAGAGAAACTCTCCAAGTTTGTGCATCATATAACAGAAGCAAAAATAAGATACGTATTTTCTTGTGTCTTGGCTTCTAAGCTTTCTTACCCAATTTTCATGACAGGGAGTGACTTCCATACTCCTGGTGCTGCGGGAAGGTGTGTTAACTGGTAATCCAGAGCAGAAAGAGGAGGCAGCAAAGGCCTTAGGACTGGTTATTAAGCTCACTTCTGCTGAAGCTCTTAAACCATCTGTGGTGAGCATTACTGGGCCCCTCATTCGGATCTTGGGAGATCGGTTCAGCTGGAATGTCAAGGTGGCTCTGCTTGAAACATTAAGCCTTCTTTTAGCTAAGGTAAGACTCAAAAGTAATTGACTGGTTTGTGAACAGTTTCTAATGTAACCTTCAGAAATACCTGTTGCCGTTCATGTAAATCCAGCTGGGATGCCTGCGGGCGTGGATTTGCTATTTAGGAATGGCACCGTCACTGGACTCTATTGTTCCAGCAGCCTCTGTCCTACCGGAAAAAGCCACCAAAGCTTGAATCGCTGGGCTTCTTAGAAATCCTGCTAAACGCTGATCCCACTTTCAAGTGACTAAACACTACCATGTAATTAATCTCTCTTACATCCACCATTCTTATGAACTGATAAGTGCAGAAATGATCTTCTGTATCTTTGAACTGAGCGGAGCTTTTATTTGGTGCTCTGTATACAAAAGGCTGTTCATGATAGTGTATAAAATTTTTATGCAACATCACCCTTCTATTTTAGTACGCAGAAAATCAGATTAGATTTGAAAATGTTAAAAGGTTTGCGGTAAAGTGTTTCATGTTTTTCCTATTTCAGTAGCGTGTTAGATGTGGGTAACAGTTTGTGGTAACTGCCTGCTATAGAAGAGGTCATGCTATTTTCAGGCTTCGATTTTCAACTGCAGACTCAGTTGCACCACTTTCCCTTCTTTCATCTTTGGCATAGGTTGAGATTGCCCTGAAACCATTTTTGCCCCAGCTGCAAACAACCTTTACCAAAGCTCTGCAAGACTCAAACCGTGCTGTTCGCCTTAAAGCTGCCGATGCTCTTGGTAAACTCATCATCATCCATGTAAAAGTGGATCCCCTCTTTACGGAGCTACTGAATGGAATCCGTTCCAGCGATGACTCTGCCATCAGGTGAGCTGTCGGTGATGGCCCAGACCTTCCTGCTTGTTGGGGATGAAAGAAAGGGCTGGGATGAAAGAACAGAGCCCTGACTTCTGAGACTAAAGTTTACTTATTAGTGAAAGCAGCTGACTGTTAATCAAAGGTTGTAAAACCAAGAATGGGGATGATGGGGACTTCCTGGTCAGAAGCTAAGCTGTGATAGTGTACGAGGAAAGAGTTGCTTGGTATCTGCCCAGTTCTCCTCCACACCCCTGTGCAACCCACTGCAGCCTGGTTTCTGATACCTGTCAGTGGTCAGCCTGCCCTGAAATAGTGTAGCTGTTCTGGTATCCGAAGTGTGCAGATTGCCCAGAAATCAGTTTCCTGATTTAGGAATGTTTTTAACGTTTGAATATTTACGTTCTAAGAGGCAGACACAAGTACAGAACCCTGGAAATATTCTCAGCAGTGCTGAGCACATATGTGGCCCCTGAATCATACAGCGCGTTTGTGTAATTGCTGGGCAAGAAGCTGTTACACGTACCCAGAGCTCAGTTTCTTTGTTAGGGTGGGGGGAGAGGCAGCGTCTGACTGTACCTTGTGATCACTTCTAGGGACACAATGCTGCAAGCTCTGCGGTTTGTAACACGAGGAGCTGGTGCAAAAGTAGATGCTGCCATTAGGAAGAATATCAGCACGGTGCTTCTGGGGATGCTGGGACATGATGAGGTACTGCTTCAGCCAGCTGCGAAGGATCCCTGCTGCAGACAGTCTTATTCTTTAATTTAAAATCTGAACTTTCTAACAGAACTATTTTCTAAAATATCTTCTGGGGGCAATTACTAGTGATAGGGTGGAAAGAAACTTAGATAAAGAAGCACGTGGTTGGGCATTACTCACTGAACTGAATATGGCCTGTTGTAAAATCGTTCTCACTGAAGCCTTGTAGTGTGTTAGCTGAGAGTCAGGTGCAGGAACGAGAGTTCCCATGCCAGTCGCTGGGAACTCTGGAAATCTCTGAGTTTAATCTTTCCTTAGCAACCGTGTACGTAGGTTTGACCAGCAGCTCCTCGCCAACGTGTCTTCTTAAGTCAGGATTTACCTTTTATCTTGGAGGATTCTATGAATACTTTCTCTCCATGTGTTTGTAGGCTCTCAGGTGAGGTTTATTATTTAGAATGAGAAATGTTTCTCCAGCTTGCGAGAAGCTCTCCAAGTATAATCTGTAGGGTCTTCTGTATATGGCAGATACCAACAGTATCATCTCTTAGATTGAAATTTATCATCTAATAATTTCTTCCTCCTGTTTTAATCTGTGCAACATAGGCACGCAACTGTTGGCATGCTAGAAATAGAAGCATTGAAAACCCACTGGATAGCAAGTTCCAGGGTGGGAAGGAGTAGTGATGGGATGGTCACTTAAGCAAATCAAAACAGCAAAAGCCTGGAAGTTTAGCACACCAGAATTTATTTATGAGGTCTCTAAGTCTTCAGTATCTGATGGCTTTTTTGACTGTGGATTTCGTTTTCAGTTCCATTACGTAGAAGAAACCTTGTGAACTGACAAATCCACAGGTAGCAGGAGTGAAGTACTACTACTACTATTTATTTCCTCCTCTTATTTCTTATCATCTTCTGTCACTTGCTCTTCTTGCTCCTTACCTCTGATGCATACTGAGCTCAGCCAGTGTTACTTTTTTCCTCCTTTCCTCCGTAGGATGCCACCCGCATGGCCTCAGCTGGCTGCCTGGCTGAACTGTGTGCGTTTCTATCAGAAGAGGAGCTCGGTACTGTTCTCCACCAGCACTTACTGGGTAGGTGAAGGTGTTTACAGTGACTGGAACTGATTCTGAAAGCAGGGGAAGATGCCTTCTTAGCCATAGGTTCAGGAAAACTTTGTCACTGTTTAGGATCCTTCTTCTTTATTTTAAACCTAAATCTCTGCTCTAGATTTTCTTATGCTTTTCTTTGCTCATGGCTGTTCATTTGTACTCCCCGGGACATAGGTGAGCACAGGCTGGTGATTTGGAGTTCAGGGTTCTCATACTTCTTTTCCCTGGATTTGTTTTCTGATGAGTTGTTGAAAGTACCAGCATGTCTGGTGCTGACACAGATGGGACGGGAGGTGACAGGCGGGGTGGACAGGAAAGCCATTCCACCTTTTTTATGACACTGTGTTCTTGGATTGGCTTATGCTTGTTGCAGAGCACTTCAGATGCTTTTGGAGAATTAAGTAATTTGTCTCTAAGTTAGATAGAAGCATGAGTAGGAACTCATAGCGGTTGGGAGTGCTGTGGGATTACTCTCCTCTGTGGGATTAAAAAGGGAATCTGTTAGCTGGTTTCAAATTACAGATGATTTTTACAATTTTATTAGAGAGCTAAAGCCTGTGTCTGGTCTCCCCATCTGCCCACAGCGGATTCCTGCCTGGTAGAGGTGTTGCGTTTTAGCACTCTTTGTGTGGCTTTTTGGGACGAGTGGCAGAAGCAAGGCATTGCTTTCATTTTATGGAAGTGAACTGACCAGCTGACAAAAGCTTTCTTAGATGAAGAGGAATGGATAGCAGGAGCCTTGCTATTGTCCTCTTCTTTCATTTGCAGCAGATGTCTCTGGCATCGACTGGATGGTGAGACACGGACGAAGCCTGGCTCTCTCTGTGGCTGTAAATGTTGCTCCGAGCAGGCTGTGTTCCCCCAAATACTACAGCAGCGTTCAGGAGATGATCCTCAGCAACGCCACTGCTGACAGGGTGAGCGTCCTTTGGGCGAGGTCTGTTGCAAGCACTTACCGGGAGTAGTTCTACGAGGAGTGCAGGTTCTCTGTGTGACCAAACGGAACAAAAATCCCCAAGTGCCATCTGAGGAGTCACCCTTAGGTAGATGCAGTTTTTATAGTGCAGTTACACAGCTGTTCTGATCTCGGCGGAGACAAAGATTAAATCATCTTCAGCTGCAGAGTAGCTTTCACTGGGAGTATATTAGCTTCTGTTTTCCTATTAAAGTTCTCATTCACAGGCCAGGTTTACAAGAATTGCAGATATTTAATTTTAGGAGTAAGATTTTAGATCTC